GCCATCGGCCCAGGGCAAGCTGCCGTTCTTGGTGTGGCAGAGGGGCTCCCCAGTGCCGGTCCTGCACCAGAGCTGGGCGCAGATGTCCTCCTCCGTGGTGTTGGGGCAGTGCTGGAAGTCCTTGCCGAAGATCTGCTGGCACTGCTGGTCCAGGCTGTAGAGGGCTCCTTGGCCGGGCAGCTCCACAGGCAGGGACAGGGGGTCTGCTGGGGCATCCAGCAAGCAGTCGCCTGGGTAAGACACAAGAATTAGGCTGGAGATGCATCGGGGCTGATGTCATGGGTTGCACCGAGCGGGGCACATAGAATCATAGAACAGTTTGGGTTGAGCATCCTCATGGCTTCCTCTGGACTTGCTCCAAAAGCTCCATGTCCTTCTGATGCTGAGGACACCAGAAGTGCTTTCAGTGCTGCAAGTGGGGTCTCAGAGAGCAGAGGGGCAGGATCTCCTCCTTCATCCTGCTGCTCACACTCTGGGGGTGCAGCCCAGCACCCGGGGGGGGGTTCTGTGCTGCAAGAGCACCCTCTGGGGCATGTCCAGATTCCCATTGACCACTCAAGAGGCATCAAGCCTCTGTCAGTGTCTGATTTGACTCCTCTTCACCCCACACAACCCTCCAGTTAAGGCACCCCTCTGCAGTTAAGGAACAGGCTGTTGTGGGGGAAGGGGGAGACCGGGGCCCTTACCGTGCCCTCCATCCAGGAACTCGGTGAGGTACATGGCGCTGCAAGGAGACCAGGGCTGGGTCTTGTTCAAGTGGATGAAAAGAGGGGCCATCATATGGTGCTTGCCAAGGGGCCCGAAGACCCGCTCGCAGGTCTTGGAGTCATCATGGGGCATGCTGAGAACGTGGCCTGGGGAGCAGAGAGCAGTGGTGAGCTGCAGCAGCCCAAACCACCCCTGCTCTGCTGCAGGAGGTGAATGGGCATCTGAGAGCATCTAGAAGATAACGAGCAGCTCCTATTGCTGCAATAGCTCCAGGATTCCTGGAGCCCCTTTAGGCCCTGGAGCTGCTCTAAGGTGTCCCCTTCAGGAGCCTTCTCTTCTCGAGCTGCCCCAGCCCAGCTCTCTCAGCCTGGCTCCAGAGCAGAGCTGCTCCAGCCCTCGCAGCAGCTCCGGGGCCTCCTCTGGCCTCACTCCAACAGCTCCACATCCCTCTTGTGCTGGGAGCCCCCGAGCACCAATTTGCACCAATTCAGGCACTTCTAAGTGCTTTTGCTGGTGCAAACCAGCTTCTGCTGGTGCCAGAGGCTCCCCAGCGCTTGGCTGGTGGTACCCAGCGGGGTGATGCTGGTGCTGGGCTGTGCTACATCCCCGCCTGGCAGAGCCCTCTTTGGGAAGAGATGCATTACCCAGTTCATGGGCCAGGGTGTAAGCTGCTTGCAGACCTTCATCCTCGATCACGGAGCAGCTTTTGTTGCGGTCGCACATGGTGCCGATATCCGCCACTCCCAGCGTGTCACAGCTCTGCTGTCCACAGAAGTCCTGTTTGGGAGCAGCAGCGAGAGGGATAACTCAGGGGTGAAGGTGTCCCACCTTCAGCAACCCCATCATCTCCAGGCAGACATGGTCTGCACCCAATGACAACCACCCCACGAGTGCTGCAAGCTTGGAGGGGGGATCCCTCCTCTTCCTCCTCTTCCCTTCCCACCCCAACCAAAGCATCCCAAGGGATGACCTGTCTGGTCAGCAGGATGGCAGTGTCATAGTGCTCCGGGTGCCGGTCACTCGGGGGGTTGAACCTTTGCTGCCAGCTACAGAAGTTGCGCAGGGTGAGCCCCCCGTTGTCGGACACCTCCGGCCCTGCTGCCTCCTCATCCACCACCAGCACCTTCACCACCACCAGGCTGATGGAGTTCTTCAGGCTGGGGTGCTTGTAGATGCGAGCTGCCATGGACATCAGCGTCAGGACGTGGTTCTGTGGGGAAAGAACGGGGCAGGCAAAGCCTGGGTGAAACCTCTGCTGTGGGGCTCTGGTCTTGGTTAGGGTGGGAGGAAACAACCTCATTCATCAACCAACCACATCCAGGGAGCCACCTGGGTTGATGGACTAAGTGCTGCTTCTTCATACATAGAATGGTTTGGGCTGGAAGGGACCTTAAAGCTCCTCCAGCTCCAACCCCCTGCCATGGGGAGGGACACCTTCCACTAGAGCAGGTTGCTCCAAGCCCCTGTGTCCAACCTGGCCTTGAGCACTGCCAGGGATGGGGTTAAAGCCATTCCCCTTGTCCACAGCCCCTCTCCATGTTTCTTGTAGCCCCTTTAGGCACTGAAAGTTCTACATGATGCTTTACACCTTGTGCCAGTGGGAAGGACGGGCAGGACAAACCCACCCCTGTGTCCCATTCCTCAGCCACTGTTTGACCTACGGTGAACTCTTTGCACCCAGCAATCCCTCAGGAAAACCTCACATTTTCATGCTCTTGCATATTCCAAAAGCATTAACCTTGCCCTCACTGCCCCAGGGCAGGGATTACCTCACACACCCCACCTCGCCGGTGCAAAACCTGCCTCGCATCACCGTAAAACTCCCTGAACCCAACACCCCCAGTGACAAACCACGGCTGAAACCCTTTGCCATCCAAGTCTTGTCCCAGCAGCATCCCCTTCCCAGGCCACTGGGTCGACCAGAGGTTACTTAATATGTCAAAAGCGCCAGTGATGTTTAGGCTGATGTAAACATCTTATCAGAGCATCGAGATTCCTCCTCTGCTTGGCACCCATTCCCAGCCTCGGAGTCAGGAGAAAGAAATGCAGCTATTACACAATGCAGTATTGGGAAAGAGAAAGTGGCTCCTCTCCTCCCCAGACGAATTACACCCCCTGCTCTCACTTCAGCGCCACTACTTAAACTGGAAGCCCTCTACTATTGGGTTGCACCCAGAACACACGTTCCCTGCTCTGTGCAGCATCCACCGCGAGGCTGCTGGGCACAAAAATGCCCTTTTCTTAGCAAACAAGGGAGGGTTTTAGGGAGAACCCCCCCATAAGCAATAACATCTTTGCTGCACCAGAGCCCTCGTGGCTATTTTAGAGCCTTCTGCCACACTCGATCCCGTCGCTGGCAGCTCCATGCAAACAGATGTTTTGCTTCAGCCGGATGTATCCCAAATCCTCCCCGGCTCATTATCCGAGGGCAGGGAGCACTGAATAGACGGGTTTATTTAGACTGGCCACATCTCCACGACGTGACTCATGTCCCAGCCCAAAGCATGCAACAAATGTCATGGAGAAGTCACCACCAAGGCAAGAAACCCAGGCGAGATCCCGAGGAGTGGTTGCTCCAAGGGAATTGTTTACCGCATGGGGAGAATCCATCGGGAATCTCCCTAAAAATATCACAAAGCCTTCTTAAAAATCGCATCCTAGAAGGATGCTCTGTGCCAGAGCTGTGCATCACAGAATGGTTTGGGTCGGAAAGGACCTTAAGATCATCTAATTCCAACCCCCTGCCATGGGCAGGGACAAACACAAACCGATTCATGCTCCATCAGCAGAGCACAGGACACTATCGTGGGATCATCCCTTATTCCCAAGGGAGCAAATCCTGCCGCATCCTTTCCTAACCTATTACAGGTTTCTCTCCATCCCAGTAGTTTTTACCTGGGAGCTCTCAGTCCCTACCCCAAATTCCCTGGGATATCCTCAGGGTTACACCCAGCCAAGAAACTCTTTCAGCAGCAGGACTGCAGGGACTAAATCTGGAAAGCAAACTGAACAAACAGCTCTTTAGTGCAGATTTAAAAGGTCAAATTCACTTGTTCCACCATCTGGTGTCTATTCATACCCAGTCCCACACCATGCAGGAGTTGGTTGGGTTTTGGATGGACCCTGATGGCTCTGGGGAGAACAGCAACCCACCTGCATTGCCTTGGCTTGGCCAAGGGCTTGGAGCTGGAGCCAAAAGCAAAGTACAACATCCCCAGGGCTCAGGAGAGGCTTTTGGCCAACAACCGAGTTGAATCCTGCTTGTCCTATCCTCCTTTGGCTTGATAAGCCACCCAGGAAGGAACGCTGCCTTCTCCAGGGTGTCCTTCCAGCATCAAGGATGTGGGTATCAGATCGGTTGTGGGTCAGGTTTGGGGAGCCCAGGTGTGCCAATGGACTCATTTCTACCTCCTTGCTATTTCCAACCAGCATCCCGGGAGATCCCGGCAGGATTTCTGTCCAGCTGGTAAATACAGCTGGAAACCAGCCCTTTATGTGTTCTGTGGGGGGACAAGGCACCAAGAAAGGATCACAGGAACATCCCTCCTCTGCTCCGTGTGCTGCTTTCATAGCCAGGCACGAGCATTGCCCAGTGCCTTGTGATGCCCCCAAAACCTCTTTTCTCCCCAGCTGCAATCCTTGGCTCCCTCTGGTCCCAAGAAGAGCAAATTCCACTCATTCCCCCCCTAAAAGGAAGAGAGGGGATGCCTTTTGTGTGGCAACCTGCACTACAGAGCTCTGATATACCTCCTGCCACGGCATCGCTGCTCCTAGGAGCCACCAGCATTGCCCTGCCACGAGGCTGCCAGCAGCAAACAGCACATGCAGAGGGTTAGTGGAACAAATGAACGTAAATCAGAGCACGGGGAACTGAAGTGGTTGGTTTTAGCCTCATAATGGTGAAGGATTCTGCTTTCTGGTACAAGCGCTTGCAAAATCTCTGCTTACGTTCTCCTTCATGGGAACCACTTGGAGCTGAAGTCTGCAACTGTTCCGTTGGGGGGGGTTAAACTCTAATGATTATGGGAGGGAGAAACTGCTCTTCCACAGACACCAACTGTTATTGTGGTATGCACATTATGGTCTAACATCCAGCGCAGGGCGGCAGGGAGCACCCGTGCAACACCCCAGAGCATCTCTCCTCCCTCCACCACGCTTGTGGAGATGAATGCTCAGCCTCACGCTGCAGGTTTGTCTGTTCACAGGGTTGTTGGCTTGGTGGGGTTGGGTTTTTCCCTCCTTTCCTCCTAGAAGCTGGAATTTCTGTAGAGGAACTAAACCGACCCCAACAGAACGGGAACGCTGAGATCTCTGGAGCGTGGACAGATGGAAGGAGGAAAACACAGGGTCAGATGTGAGGGCTCTTAACAAACAACTGGTAAAAACACATCCCAGCCTGTCTCTCGGATACCCACAGCGGCAGCAGCCACCCTGCCAGCCTCCTCCTGTGCTTTGGAGCCCGAGCCAAGAATTCCCTTACAAAAAGCATGGGCAGCAGCCAAGGGAAAAGGGGGGATGAGGGGACAGTTGCCAGCTCGCTGCCGCATCCCCTTTCTGCCTGGTTTTCCCTTCTTCACTGGGTATTTGGGGCTGAGCCACCAGGGGCTCCATTTCAGGGCAAGGGAAACTGAGGCACACACAGCACCGCTGTAACCTCTTTGCAAGCAGGGGTGGACACAAAGCAAAACCTCACCCTGCAAGCATCCCGGGGTGGTTTGCAACTGCTCCTGGGCTGCTTTTGTGCAGGGATTAAGGGAATTTGCCCACTCAAGCTGCAAAATACCCTAAGGTGAGCCTAGGAGCTGGATACGAGGGGACTTGAGGCTTCAGGGTGGCTTTTGCTTTACTACCAAAGTCACTTTGGTGGTCAATCTGGGTTTGGGACAGCTGACAGCAGAACCCGAACTCCCATCTGGTCTTGGAAGAGATAGCAGCAACACACCTAAAACCTCATCATTCTGCCTGGAAAACACAGAATTCCAGTGAGGAATCCCAGTTTAATCAGATTTTACCCTGGTCCTGAGTCATTACTAGCTCCTGGAGCAAGGAATTGCAGACTCCTTGCTCACAAGTACAAGGGGGAAAAGAAGAGGGATCGTAGCCATCATGTTTGCAGAGGAAAGCTTGGAAACTCATCTCATCCACACCCAAGAGACTGGAGAAATCCCACCACAGGAATCCCATTCTG